GGACATGGATGAGATGCAGTATATAATGAGCGGCGTGGCCAGCGTGGCGGACTCGGATGGAAGGCGCCTGACGTGTGGCTATGGCTTCTGATTGGTCAATAAAGCCTGTTCTATTGTACCAGTATTTTTCCTATTAGGGCTCGGGTATTCCACAGCGGACTCAGATGGAAGGCGCCTGATTTGTGTTTCTGGCTTATGATTGGTCAATAAAGCCTTATCTGTTTTGCCAGTATTATACATTCTAGGGCTCGGCTAGACAGAAAATTAAATTTGGGGGTCATTACGTGGAATTTTTATCTTAACCTTTTAATGAGGATTAATGCCATTTGCTCAAATGCTTATTTTAAAATTTTGTTATTTTAGGAAAATCGTAGTTGCTCAATAAAAAAAATTTAAGAAAGCAATTAATGAACTAGCAACGAAGGAGTCAATTTATTAATTCGTTTACTATTTGCTGCAATACCATAAAAGGTGGCTTTAAGCATGTTGGTCTTTTTGAATCGAATATTATTACGTATACATGTACTTAAATCATCAGGATTAAAGGAGGTTTGTTAGCAGCCTTCACTGGCTGAACATAGAAATGTATCTATAGAATCTGCAGTTTATTCTTGACAAACCGGTACATTTGAGGAACCTCTGTAAGATTAGTCAACTTCGTGTTGCGGAAGGAAGCAATCAAGACCGCTTGACATCGCAGAAAGTAAGCATGTTGGATGCAAGCGAACACAAAAGTAAAACCATCGAAAGTTGGAAAAAGTGCGGTGGATTTAGGTTAAATCATGGAAGATAATAATAACAAGCGTCGCTGTTGTCATTGTCAATATGGTCTTTTAAATACTGGGCCGCCAATTTACCATTACAATTTAAAATTTTGGAATTTTCGTAACTTTGATACCAAAGGTAACAACAGTAAATTTGTTAAAAAAGTTTTAAATTTAGGGTCCGAAAAAGCCTAATAGTCTGTCATCATAATTAGTGTAAATTGATTATATTATGTGTATTTGAATTAATTTCTCCACTTCACACCAACCTGAATGATTGTAAAAGATTTAATTTTAAAAATCTAGCAGTTAACTAATTAATTAATTTTTATCAATCTAAGAAACTGAAACGGATGATTTTTTTTAAATAGCAATTTAACAACAAAAATATGGAAATGGTATTAGGATATGATTTCCTTACTTCTTACCTCATTGAAGGTGGGTAACGCTATTTCGTTAGTACATTTAACGCTTACTTCTTGGCCCAAAAACAGAGAAGAAATAGAGGCAATTTGAAAATATTTTACTGTCATACCCTGAAGAGATTTCATTGATGCCTTTAACATTTTGTTTCATGTTAAATCATTTCTTGGATGCTAAGTGCAATTACTTGAATTGTTTCAAAGTGGTTATCAATTTTAAACACAAGTATACATAATATTCAAGAATAATTACAAACTGCAAGAGGCAGTTATTGTGAAGGCATGAAATTATGCTGGAGCAGTTAGTTTATTTCAATTTATAAGTGGATAAAACAGAATTTGAAATTATTTAATCAAAAGACACGAATTTAACCTTTCAACAATAAAGATTCTAAAAAACCAGCCTCTTGCTTTTTAAAAGTAAAATGAAATGTAAGAAGCTAATTCAATCGTCATATTGGAGTGGATTAGAATAATATTACCATTTGTATTACGATGAAATTTATTAAGATCTTGATACGCTGATCACAAATTTTGGTATCGCCACAGCATTTACGACAGAAGTCGTTCGCGATTAGCCCAAAAAGCATTAATTACAACCAAAAAATTTGTAAATCCGGAATATAATAAATAGTACCAATTAGGCAATGTAAGCCAAGTTGTTACTTCAAATTTATGTTCAAATGGTTATAAGGGAATGAACCTGAGAACATTATTGTCACGAAGTAAGCTAGCGCTATATTCCGTTGTTTTTTTTTTGCCCTGAACATGTCGTTATATAATTGAGTGGTGACAGCGGAATGCTGCCCTAATCCTTTCAGTACGCATAATTTTTTTAAAACTTGCAGCCTTTATAACATTATTGTGTTGTGTATATGTGTGTTTACGCTTAGTAGACCATGATAACATATCATATTTTTATTAATAGCATGAATCGTTCATTGTTGTTTAAGTACGCTAGATGTTGCAAAGCTTTCGTTTCTGTATTTACCGCGTAGGATCGTTTGCTAGCCTTGGTAGTTTAGTATGGTGAGTTTGGTTTTTTGCATGATAATGTCTTCTATTTTTCGGTTTTTATTAACTAATCGTTTTGCTCTGCTGTTGTTACGTAGGCCGATCAGCTTACAGAAGAGCAGATTGCTGAGTTTAAGGAGGCCTTCTCCTTGTTCGACAAGGATGGCGATGGAACGATTACGACAAAGGAACTGGGGACGGTTATGAGGTCACTTGGACAAAACCCTACTGAGTCCGAGCTTCAGGATATGATTAATGAAGTTGATGCCGATGGTTGGTTTACTTATCGCCAATTTTTAATTCTTCAGGCAATGGGACCATTGACTTCCCTGAGTTCCTTACAATGATGGCCAGGAAGATGAAGGACACTGATAGCGAAGAAGAAATCCGGGAAGCGTTCCGTGTGTTCGATAAGGATGGTAATGGCTTGATCTCCGCAGCCGAGCTACGGTATGGTGACTTTCAGCTTATTTGTTTCTAGGCATGTGATGACCAACCTTGGCGAAAAGCTAACTGACGAGGAAGTTGACGAAATGATCCGTGAGGCCGATATTGATGGTGACGGGCAAGTGAATTATGAGGGTAAGTGCTAGTTGCATGCCTCTACTTCGTGCTTTCGTGTTGTGTGTCCTCGTCTCACTTCTTTTCTTTGTTTATGTCCCTTCCTTGTCTGTGTTGACCACTGTTGTCCTCGGCTATTTCTTCGGTGAACCAAGAATTCGTGACAATGATGCAGTCGAAGTAGCTTCAACGCGTCACAGAGGAATCAGCTCAACGTAGTTTCGCGTTATTTGGCGTTGGCGGATTCCCCTGGCCATCCCTTTATTTCTGACGTGTTGATAATTTCACAAAATGACTCCGTGTTATCATTCCGAGCTCAAGCAGCTGAGCTAAATTTTACCTGTTATATACATAGATATGTGCAACGTCCCGTTATTGTAAGACTCGTTTTTGCGCTTACAGCTCTCACGATTCTCATGTTTGGCACATCGCAGTTACCAACCATAAAACTCCAGTAAAACTGTGTACTTTCTCTTGCATTTTCTTTATATTAGTTCAAATTTGTGATTGTCGCTTAGAAGACACTGATCAGATTGTATATTTCTTTACCAGTGTCGCAATTAACCTTTTAAATAAAGGGTGGACTGAAAAAGTGCCTGTCATATCTGACGAGGATGTCTCGGGTGGTGCCAACCTAGTTGGCAGCTAGGTGCCTCGTGTCGACCTAACTCTTTGTGCACCGTCTTTAATATCCTAAATTATCTCATCCTGAAGTCACTGGCACTTGGCTATATCTTGAATGGGCGCTGTTAATCAAATAACGGCCGTTGGTTCGTGCCGTACTCATTATTAAAACCATGATTCCGTTGTATGTTGCATGTAGTGCGTATTCCCCTTTCTGAACGTGTTTGATGGATCTAATTAAGTTGATGCCATTAAATTTTTTAGAATTCGTCACAATGATGACGACGAAGTAGCCCACGATCCCGTTCTATGTATTCTACGAAATCGATGTTTTCACCAACCTCCCATCACACTGCGTTTGCTTACTCTTTCTTATTCCATCAATAGCACGGATCCCCTAGACTGTTATCACTTGTTTGTCAGCTAATTTTGACTGCCAGACCTTCGCTGATACCAGTTTCCTTATTCCAAATGGCCGTCTATCCTCTTTGATTCCTTCTCTACGGCCTCCACTGTACATTGCCGTCGCAAGCGAACCTGTTGAAGTAGATTCTGCATCAAGATTTTGTGTTTAGTGGTCTTTATTAGCATCGATGGCTTATTAAACATCATTTCCAGAGAGTTATTAACCTCTTGTGTCTGGAGACATCTATTCGGAAACCGATGCTGTCACTCGCCTGTTAAGCCCATAGTTAACATAATGTAGGACTGGGTGGACGCTCACGCAATCTCTACCAACTCTCTTTGAATCTTCGCTCACACAGCTTTCGTTTCTCGCCAACTTATTTAAATTCTTGGCTGCGAAAGGTTTTTGCTGTGAAGTATCAGTTGTCAATGACAGCATTCAAATATATAATATATATTATCTACTTACGTGGTACAATGTTCTCTCTATTATATACGCCGATCCAGATGCTAAGGCCGCTTGCTTGCGCCACTTCCAAGTGCAAGCTTTGAGGTTGACTCGTGTGTCTCCTTTCGCGAAGTGTGCTGGTGTCGTAGCTGTTAAACGCTGTAATCTAGGTCGGCTCTCCGCATGCGACCACTTTGTCGTGAGTAACCCGTCAAATGCAATGTAATAACAGGAGGTAGGTGGGGTTAATATTTTGAAGTCGTGATCTTGTTCTTTCTCGTATGGGTCTTGAGTGTTGGGCGTTGCTCATCCTTGTTAGTGTACGCCAGCTAGTTTTATGACAATGGTAAGTGTGCCAAGATAAATAACTTCCGAGGTGGACTCCCAGGAAAGTTATCGGTGACTTCTAGTTAGGATGCCGTTCATTTAATTATTAGCCAAGGGCTTAGTTGTCCGGTTCCCGGTACTTCAGGAAATTACTAATGGGAGCTTTGTGTTCTTTCGTTTGACCGTGACGGGCGTCACTTTAAGAAAGCCACTCGTGTTTGGTAGTCACCTAGATATGCACTCCATTCTTATAAATTCAAGTACTGTCACTCGGTCCTTACAAATAGGGTGTTGTTTTGGTTCCTTGGCTTCGAAAATTCTTGTCTATAAGCACAAACTAAATAGGTTGCAGCGATGCTTCATTGAACAGGAGCACGAAGTGCCTCACCTCGTAGACCGTGAAGTGTCAGGGGTTAGTGTCACACCTATCCGCTGCTCGCACTGATCGCAGTAAGTCCGCTGTGTTGACTTGCTCTTGTGTTTAGTCGATTTTTTTGTCTGTGTTAGCTTTACATCTTTGCAATTGCTGCCCCGAGTTGTAATGACCGATTTTAATCAGACGACATTGTTCGTCTTTCCCAGCCCAATATTTTTCCCATCCACTTAAACATAGCGTTTGTTCTGACGGTGGTTAAAATATTGATGCCTTTTAAGGACTTTTATAGTATAAATTGATTGATGATCCACTGGAAATTAGTGTTGGTTAAAACCGTTTAATCATGCATCCTGGATGAGGTCCTTAAACTTTATTGTCACTGTATTTTTTTAATTGGTAAAAGAAATTCTGTTAATAAAATTTTGATCGACGCAGCACATTATTTAATGGACTTCCCTCTATCACCCTGTTGAGTCTATAACAGACGAGGACTAAGAATGTGAAACCAATTTGATCCACTTCCTCTTCTTTCTCATCCTGTTAGAGTCATTGGTCTTGTTATAAATTGAGGGATCATGAAGAAACAATTTGCCCGAATTTCCAGATATCAGTGTGAAATAACCGATTGGACGTCTTTAAAAACAGAGTACGCAATTTGGCTGATACAATTTTGGAAAAAATTTTCCTGAGATCATGCTCTACCTTTGAAAGCACTTGGGTTGGGAAGAACAATGGGGAGAAAAGCATATCGATCGGGTGAAAATTACTTCGGGTGAAGTCAGAAGTTTATTATTTTCGTGCTATATTGCAAAAAGAAATTGTAGTTTGAAAAGATATCAAATTGGGGCAGAAATTGCAATTCAAATTTGGATGCTGAAATTCATCAGTCAATGGGAAAGCCCAAACAAATTAAATTTATTCAGTTCGACCGTAAAATAAGTTATTGTGGGACTGAAATTGTGCGCGAAACCATTACACTCAGGGCGATTTTCTTATTTTCGATAGCAATCAAGTTATGGCTACGTGCTAAGAGATCTGTAAGACAAATAGTTTTGCCGGTGTTCAAAGTTTAACAAAGACTTAGACCTGAGTGTACGTTCCATTGAACGTTGGTCGTCTTAGGATGGCAGGATTACCTTGGTTGACAGAAAGCAGCTCAACGAAATGCTTTTGTCATTTGTTTTAGACCAACCCCAGAATGCTGTAAAGTGCGACTTGAACAGCTTCTCATTGTTACCCAAACTTGTTATTTTTAAAAAGATAGTACTGTTTTGTTTAGCGCGCAGCCACTTAAAAAAGGCCCATATGTCCTTAGTATATATGGTGCCTTTATCAAATACATATTCGCACCCACGTTTATATATTTGTATTATTTTCGTTATATTTATGCATTTAGCCACGCAACATTAAAACCAGAAAATGGAAACCATGGCTGTATGGTTAAACATCGACAGGTGTGATACTGAACATTGTTCAGATGCGTGGGGATATTTCTTCAGTGCTATTAATAAATGACTAGAAGTCTTCTGTCACTTCGGTGCTTTACTAGTGATCACCGAAGCAGCACTTAAACTGACAAGAATTTAAAGCAAACAGATTTCGTTATCATATTCTGGGATTTATATGCCTTTACGTAGGCGTGATTTTCAGCTTTAGCACTGTCATTCAAGACAGTGGAAAATTTATGTGAATAGGTTTCTCTATCAAAGTCTTACAATTTTATAAATTACTAGCCTGTCGGGATCAGATTTGTCAGTTCCAGGCTCAGACTAAGTGTGAAATTAGTAACTAGGGCACCTCTAGTTGAATACGAAAATTTGGCCATGAAATCCGTGCTTGTAGGTCTTATCTATACAGGCCTTTTCACCTACTTCAATCTTTTACCTTAATTAAAACAAATTTCTGAATTTGGGAAACTAATGCTGTTAAATCAGTGTGCGCACACTTATAAATTATACAATGCTTCTCGAACCTCTCGCATTAAGAAAACTCCAGGGTGGTGGAACAAACATCCACCCACGTTATTCATGCTTGCTATCCACGCAATCCCGGGATTTTAATGGGCATATCCAGACTATCTTCAAAACGCCCATGGAAAATGAATAGCAAACGAATTGTTTCGCAGACCCATTTTCAGTTCAACACTTTTACACTAACAATATCAAATAACTAAGGAAATACCTTCAAATATTTTTACTACGTTCAAGTAACAAATAATTTAACACTTCATATCGGAAGTCTTCTGGCTTAAATGCACGTAGAATGTTAAAAAAAATTTGGTCTAGAAGCCAACCAGGTTCACGAACTGATCAATTTAGTGAACGCATGGAGGCCAGGATAACTGATTCATTAGACTGAACCTGAAGACCCCGTATGAAGGGAAATCAAGTTACTTTGCCACACATGTGCAAATTTATAAATCAGGGGCAGCATTTTCATAAAATCCTTCACAACTTGAGAACTGCCGTTCTCTCAATTCGTACCCAGTGTCACGCTTCACTTTTGCAGTGGCGTGGTCAAAACTGGATTGAAACAGTCTTCGAACTGCCTTGTCACTCCAGGGATGCAGTTGGTAATGTCTCATGTTTACCATTTTAAAATCAAGCTTCAAGGAATTCATTTTGCTAGTAATTACTGGGACGCGATCGCTAACAGAGCACTGACACCCTAAATCAACGGCCAGTCACACAAAAATTGTCTAATAAACATAAACGAAGTAGCTAACGCGTCGAAAAGCAAAAGATCTCTGTTTCGGTAGTTTAAAGGACAATATTATATTTTAACTATTTACTGCAAACAATGCTGCAGTGTGCCTTTTTTTCACCTTTACCGGTTGAATATAAAAGATTAATAAGTCGCGGGTTTTCGAGAACGGATTAACTTAAGGTAACTGCGCGGAATGCCATCTAAACCGTTCCTTCCATCGCCTACACTATCAATTAGCGCGCCTTTAGTGAAAATTTTTCCCCATTTGAAGTCATTCAATGTCGAACAAACAGAATTTGAGGGCATTTGCGACCTGTAAGTAAAATTAAACACGGTTTGTTGACAACTTTGGTTAATCTACTTAAAAATAAAAGACCTGTGTTATTTTAAGCCAGGAAATGTAGCCAGCATCAATGTGCCTCATAAACATGCTTGCTTTTCGTTGTGGGTCATTTATTTCCTGTTTGTTAAAAAGTTTTAAGACAGGCATGGTTTTCTTCAATGGCGATTCTGAGTGCATTTTTGTCGTTTCCGTTGCAGACGTCTCGAGAACGATTTTGAAACACTATAATCAGCAACAAGCTTTTCCCTTTTTGTTTATGCAGTCAACTATTTCAATGAAAATCTATCCTACTTATGTTTTGACCTTCAGCGTACCATTTACTAGCCAACTTCACCGAATTTTTTAATGTCACCACACACCAGGTCTTTGGAAAATTATTGCAATTGGTATGAGAGATCAAGCTTTAAACGTCAGACCTGA